TCTAAGTGAGCTTAATCTTTACAAAAGGTATTTTAGCTCAAAGCTATAAAATCAAAGTTATCTTAATTCTACAAAGAGGGGACTGGGTGTTTCACTTCATGCCACCATTTCTTTAGAACCTCATGTTTTTCAAAATTTGGCCACAAATCAAATCTCGGTGTACCAGTTTCAGGTAATTTCTCTTGTAGAAGAGGCCAAGTACAAAGAGAGAGTAACTGCCTAGGAGAGTAGGAAAGTGTTCGTAAATAGTGTGCAAAGGAGGGAAGAGTTCGGGGTTAATCTCTGGAACTCGACCTGGACCTTGACCGTGACTTGGAGCGAGATCGAGAATGGGATCTTGATGCAGCTCTTTTTGGTGGAGGGGAGGCGGAATGAGCCTTGGAGGCTGGAGGAGGGAGGGGTGACTTGGACCGAGACTGGCTCCTTGATCTGGATTTTGACTTGATATCACCTTTGCCATTTTCCTTGGGAGACCGTGAGCGAGAACGGGATCTGCTTCGAGACTTCCCATAAGCACCTTTAGATCTACTTCGCGAGCGAGAACGAGAGCCCCGATCAGACTTGGGCTTAGATTTGCTGTTTGATCTGGATTTCCTGCCTTTTGATCGAGAACGTGACCGACCTTTGCTCCGAGACCTAGATCTGAACAAAAACAAAGATTTCCCCTCCGTTATTTTGTCAGAATATACATGGAACCTCCCCAAATCCATCATTAACGTTAAGAGAAACCACTGGGAACATGAATTTACCTGGAGCGACTTTTTGAGACACTTCGAGATCTACTGCGGCTGCTCCTGCGACTCCTACTTCGTGACCGCCTTCGAGATCGAGACCTGTAACAGGGCACACACAGAAGTACCCGTGACCAACGCAGCTCCAGTGCATCTTTCTAGGTTATCTTACACAAGCAGAGATGGTCCCCTCTAAAAGCACTTGCTCCTTGGAGGGTCTGGGGGCCAAAACCCCATTAAACATACCGTTTAACCCTCTAAAAAGAACACAATGATGCCCCACACCAAAGAGAAAACTACAGACTTAAGTTTGATTAATTAGTAATGGTAACCACTCCATTTTCTTTGTTTTTGGCAATCTCCCAGTGACCTTCATCTTTCAAGTTACCTGGATCTGCTTCCAGAGTAAGACCGCCTGTGGCTCGTTCGTGGTTTATCTTCAATAAGCCTAATATTTCTGCCGTTTATTTCTGTACCGTCCAGTTTATCCAAAGCACGCTTCATGTCGGAGTAGGAGCGAAACTCAATAACACCTTCGTTTGTACGTTCTTTGTGAGCATCCGCGTAGGTCACTTCACCTGCTTGTCTCATGAAATCCTAGATGACAGCACAAGATCACACATACATTAAGATCTACAAACGCCCAACCGACACACAGTGCGCTTGAGACTCACAAAAACTGAGGATGTACCTTTAAATCTTGCCAACTGCAACGACTAGAAAGATTTTCTACAATAAGCCTGTACTCTGTACGAACAGGAGGTCCATATTTGTCTCTTCCTGAAGTTCGCCGACTGCTGTATCCACCTCCACCACCTTTATCACATGAAGAAGACAATCAGATGCTTTGCAGTGACAACAAGACAGAATGTTTTTCTGAAAGTTAGTACAAACATATCAACTTTTATTTACTGGAGTAGGACTTTTCGAAGATATTGCTAAACCTCTCACACATTTGTGATTTGCCATAAATTAAAGTAAGGGCAAGTCAAATATTTTCTAAATCCAACTAACTGCTCCTACATTCTGTTAGACAGAGTGACTGCTCCTTTATTCAATTTACCTCGCTAAGTTTTATTTTACAGAACATTGTAAAATATAAAACTTAACTGATTACATGCATTTTTACATTTTACAAAAATGTTTACTAGTTACACTAAGTACTTACATCACAGTGTGAGGTTTTTGGTGGTGGTTTGGCCACAAAACACGCAAGGTAACAGTCACCTAGTTCAGATTAACCAGTTTTGTCTAACCCTTGGGATCCTCACCATCACCCTGCGTCTAATGGCAAAAGGCTGCTGTCGTCATGGCTTCCGGTAAGGTCAGCCAAAGGGTCATAGGGCAAGGGTCACACAATGTATGGAAAAGCCAAGGCCAATCAGGAAAGGCAGTCATCTTAGCCTCAGTGGACACAGCCTCAGCCCCATGGGTCACTTTCAAATTGAAACATCAAGGACTTGTTAAAAAGTTTGAATTCAACATGCAACAATTTCAACATCAAACATTTCACATAACCAAAATGCCCCCCACCTCCCGCCAAGAACATGCCCCAAACTAATTAAATACAGCACAAGGCTGATGTAATAAACTAATGGGTGGTGCGAAACCACAATTCTTAAAATACTACTGGCTTCCATTCACCCCGCCGGTTTTACTAACTCTAAAACCTAGGCTCCAACTCCCCCCGCCCCCTCCACCCCCCCAGCCTGCCCCCCTAAACTTCAAAGCTAAGACACTCCCATTTCTAGCTAAACACTGACAGGTACGCACGGGGGACGCGAGGACTACTGACCCCCCTTAACTTCCTGCGTGGGCAGCACTCATGACAGTGCGGACAGGTGCCCACAAGCCAGCCCCGCTCCCCCAATTCAGCCCCGCGGCAAGAAACGCACACCCATCCCTAGTCCTGCCTACGCGAACCCCCAAAGCTGCATCCCCGCGCGTCCCGCGGCTGCCCCGGGCAGGAGTGAGGGCATCGGGGCCCGGAGATGCCCCGGCCAAGCGGCCCCGGCCACCGCGCCTGCCCGGAGCGGGGAGGCCCCTCCCGGCCCCCCGGGTGCCCGCGCCCGTGCCCGCCCACCCGCCCCCCGCGTGCCTACGCCGCCGAGCGCACGGGGCTCTGACTCACTGCGGCTTCCGTAGCTGTAGCCGTCGCGGTCCCGGCGCGGGCCGCGGGCGTGTTCCACGATCACACGCTCGCCGCACAGCTCCTTGCCGTTCAGCTCGTAGACAGCGTCGTCGGCGTCGCGGGAGTCCTCGAACTCCACGAAGCCGTACCTGCGGAGGGAAAGGGGGAGATGGGGTGGGTGATCGGCGTCCACCGGGCGCGCTCCCGCCCAGCCGCGCGCGCCCCCGCCGCCCTGCGCGGACGCCATCTTGGCGGCCCTGCCACGCGGCGCCGCGGCCTTGGCTGTCCCCTCCCTCCTCCGGGAGCCCTGGCCGCCATCAAGCCCGGGGCGTTGCGGGGAGGTGGGATGTATACGGGGGCCCAGCCTCGACTTACCCATTTTTGAGGTCTACTTCGAGGAGACGGCCGTAGCCACTGAAAAATCGCTGGATGTCCTTTTCTCGTACGCTGTAACTAAGGCGTCCTATGTAGACGCGCGGCATAGCCGTGGTGGGCAGGGGCCCGAAGGCTGGGGAGGGCGGTCGATCGGCGGACCGCGAGCAGCAGACCGGGTGTAGACGCAGAGAGCGGCCGACACACGCCCCGATGCAGAGCGGCGGCCGACTCCAGCCACACAATGGCGCTGCCGCGCGCCGGGCTTACGCTATAAAGACGGCGGGGCGGGGCGCTGCGCGTGTGGCGTCACCGCGCAGGCACGTTCCCGCTCGCGCCGGGGACCCTCGCTCCTGGGTGACTTGTGCTTCTAACGTCGCGAGGTTTCGGAGAAGCGAGCTTGCTCACAGAGTTCCGACCATCCCTCCCCACCTTCTCTTGTAAACGTGCATCCCGCGGTGCAGACATGGACTTGCCTTCTCTTTTGCGTCCTTAAAACCCTGTCTCCTCCTGTGGTTTCTCGGGATTGGCCGGCTAGGCCGGTCCTTGGTTTTCATTGGCTCCCCACGATGTCATAATAGATCACCGTGGCTTACGATTGACAACGGGGCTGTCAGTTTCTTTCACCGATTGGGTTCCGTTAAGTTTGGTGGGTAACGTGCTTTTTGGGGCACAGTTGTGTTTTCCCCCGAGCTCAGAATCCGCGGTTTAGACTCTGGGTCTGCGGGGACCCATGGAACGAGGTCGCAGCCTCTGCTTCTTGTTGTTGTTATGTGCCGTCGAGTCGCTTGCGACTCATAGCGACCCTATGTACAACAGCCCTAAACTCCGCTCTGTCCTGTGCCAATCGCACTGTCTCCAGCACACACATCCCGATTACCCCAGTCACGGAATCAATCCTTTCCCTCCTGCGCTGTCCCTTCACCCTCCCAAACACGATGTCCCTCTCCAAGGACTTGTCTCTCCTTACAACATGTCCAAAGGATGTTAGACGGAGCCTCAGAATCCTTGCCTCCAAGGAGCCGCCCGGTTCCTCAGTCTCAGCTGTCATCCGTCTTCATCTTCCTACACATTCCCTCATCCCTCCCTGGAGAGGCACCTATCAGTTGACTGTGCTTGGGAATCTCACATAGTGGATCCTCACCAGGAAGGTAGCACTTGGCACCCAGGTAGATGCCCAAGAAGGTTAAGCCAGACCTGACAGCTGTCTTTTCCAATGGATAATACATTGTCTCAATATCCTCCACTCAATATTTTTGAAGGTGTCCTGTGTAACCGGAAAAACACAGTATATAAAACAATATATTTTTTTAAAAACAGTACATATTAATTTTTTTTACATTTTTCTTTCTTTATGCTTTAGAAATTACTACATAAAACTTGTTTTGCTTCTTTTCCCCCACGGTTTAAATTAATTTTAGTGAAAGTTTACAGAGACTTAGGGTTTCCACTCATTCATTATTGCACTTGTCTCCCTATATTATTTTTTTTGTTTTATTGTAGTTGAAAAAATACACAACAGAACATAAACCAACAATTTCTGCATGCACAATTCAATGACTTTGGTGATATTCTTCAAATTGTGCAACCACGCACACCTTCCTTTTCCGATCGGTCCTTCCTTATTCACGCAGACTCGCTGGCCCCCTAAGTGTCCTATTTAACAGTGGGAATTGCATAACAACGGTTTTGAGTAGTTACAGTGTTGAGTCATTGGGACAGAGACCATCTGCTTCATAAAACTTAAAATTATTATTATCTAGTTATTGGCTTGGATTGATGTCTTTGGTTGCTAAGTGTAGGAAACCAAATATCAAATTTAATACTAATAATAAACCAAATTCTATATTGGGATATATTGTTGTTGTTAGGTGCCATCGAGTTGTAGACTACTCATAGTGACTCTATGAACGAAAGGCCTGAACACTGTTCTTTCATAGAGTTTCTGCAGGCAAGCCATTTCGCAAGTAGATGCCACTCCTGCTTCTAGGCTTGGTTAGTCAGGAAGCTTCAGCAAACACTGTCCACCATGGATAACCATCACCATGTTTGGCACATCAGTGTCACAGTGTTCAGCATCACAGCAACCACGAGTTACCTCTGTACAGCAATGCACAGACCAGTGCTATGCCACCTAGAAGAACGTTTGACAGGAAAACAATTTGAACCTGGCCTGAGGGCCACAGATTAAAATCATCCACCTTCAACTTGGTAGCATAACTTTCTGTCCACTAGGCCAACTTAGCTCTCTCTATGTCGTCATTGTTATGGTGTCTCTATGTCATCAGGATATGAGGGAAGCTAGAATTCACCCTGAGGCACTAAGGCATTCTCTAAGACTCAACATTGTTCTCAGCCACCTTAGAAAGCCTAGCCTTTTATATGAATATTTATGTGTCTCTTGAGCAGTGGTTATAGTCGTTTTTGAGAATCATTATGAGAATGTTCTACATGATCATGTCCCTGCCAATTTATGGTAAGGAATGTATGGTCAGGCATCCATCCCTTACTATGCCTCCTCCCTCTGACGTCTTAGTGTGTGCTTTGAACATGCTAACTAGTTACCTATCCTGGGCCACTGAACACCTCCATTAAATGGCTCTCTGTCTCCAGAAACCTGCTTCTAGTCTCTATTCAAAATCATCTTATCAGAGCAGCCTTCTCTAACTACTTTGTTTTGAAATAACATCCCTCCCTGTACTATCTTTTTTAGCCTCTTTTATTTTTCTTTACAGAACTTTTGATCACTTAGTGTATGTTGTCTCTGCCCCTCCTTACCCTCTGTAGGATATAGACCTCATTAGACCAGAGGTGTTCTCTGTCTCTTCATTGCATTGCTCTGTTCCCAGCACTTGGGGAAGTGCCAGCATACAGTAGGAACCCAGTGAGAGCAGCACTCTTCTGATAGTGGAGTGAGAATCTCCATTCAACAGATTTCAGTGTGCTGATGGAGTCCACAGGGCGTGCTGGTCCCGTGGACTCTTCCACTACCTTTCTGGTTTATGCCCACTCCCTCCTGGCCAGACTTATTGCTCCGCTGAAGGCCTTTTCCCAAAGCCTCATCTCCCCTCTCCTTCTGGGATCCAGGATCAGATTCACTTCAGATCACATTTCCTCCACACAAACTTAACAGGACAGAAGACATCAAAGGCTGATGAGGCTAGAGGACCATCCAGGAGCTGCTGTGGCTTCGTGGTCTTTTTGGACTCACAAATGCAAAGACTGTGAGACTTTTTGGACTGTGGTACATTTGACTCTACCTTTCCCCAGGAGAAAGAGAAGCAGTTTCCTCCTATGTGATTTCTCTAAAAACCTGGAAAGTCAGCGATGAGTTGATTCCTACTTGATAGTATGTAACAAATAGAATATTTTATGCATTGTTAGAGAATACATTGGTACAATTTCTTTGAAAAGCTGGTAATATCTACTAATTGGAACATTTGCATCCAATTTGCAATTTCATCTGTGAGTTACACATAACAGAAATGCATATGTAAACTCTCAAACTAAAAAAACCAAAACAAAACACTCCCCCCACCAAGTATCAGTCCCTGTTGTGTACCACCGAGTTGGAACTGACTGCCTCTGGCAGGTTTTCAGAGGCAGTTAATTGCACAGATTTCCCATCCTTTGCTTGCAGAGTGGCTAGTGGATTTGAACTGCATGCTTTTGGGATTATAACACAGCTTCTTGCCACAAAGCCACCAGTGTTCCCATCAGCTCTTAAGCCTAACTAAAAGCCCATCAACAGGTGAATCAAGCAATAAATATTAGTATATTCACAGCACACATTATACAGTGGTGAGAATGAAATACAATTGTACCCAACAAAGCCACATAGAGTGAGATCAAAAAGTATGAGATATAGATATAGATAAAGATATAGATATAGATATAGACAGACATAGATATAGACATAGACATAGACATAGACATAGACATAGACATAGACATAGATATAGATATAGATATAGATATAGATATAGATATAGATATAGATGAGTATGCACTATATGGTATTGTCTACCATGACAACATTTTGATCAAATTATACCTCCCTGAGAATTCACCTATGAATGTCAATTTGTCTGGATCAATGATTGCTGCTTGGTCCTGATGGTGTGGCTTTTTCGCCACCTTGTGGCATTCTGTGTGATTACAGTGGCAGGTCAATACCATTGACTGCCTCATCTGTGCTGCATGACGCTTAAGGAGAGAAGGTCTTTGGACCCATCGCTGTCAAGTCAGGTCTGACTTATCGCATCCCCATGTGTTCCAGAATAGAACTGATTCATAGGGTTTTATTGGATGCAGTTTTTATGGAAGTGGATCACCAGCCAGTGTCACTGGGTAGATTCAATTTCCCAGCCTTTAAATTAATAGTAAAGCTTGATCTGTTCCTGCCACCCAGGGACCCAGATGGTATAGGGAGCTTCAATCAAACCTCGTTTTCAAACCCCTTATTCACCTAGAAGTTTTCTGACTTTTACTTTTACCTTCCCTGACGGTGTGGGCACTCGTAGCTGGGGTGCCAAGCCCATTATTGGACTTTACCCATTGTGAGTAAATTACTCTTTCTTCTCTCTGGTTTTAAAGTGTTGCTATCTGATCATTTTTTTTTCTGTCTAGTTGAATACACATTTGTTTCGCTGGCACTCCAGATATACAAGTATAAAAAGGAAAATGTTTACATCTTCCTTTTGACAAATGTCGAGGTAAACCATGCAGATTAAAATGCCTCCGTTTAACTCCAAAGAGTGGCTTTGATCATATACAAATTTTCCTTTAAGGAGAAAAAGAAATGCTGTCAGAATGAAATGATTCTTTTTCTATAAAATAAAATTTGCTGTCTTCACTTGCCCTAGTTCTGCCTCTTACACTGTATGACTAAAACACACCTCTTTCCGCAGCCGGGTCTTTGAAATGTCTGGGGCAGAACTTAGATCCCTCTGTGTCTTCTGACCAAGTGTCCCCAGGTCTCACAGACACCTCTCTTGTGGCCTGCATTCAGCACTGTCCCTCCCCTGGCTGCTGTCTCTCATGTGTCCGACTTACTGTGTCTCTCTGCAGGTGTGGCCCTCCGAGTCGGCCTAGACCTTCTGAACCTCTCTCTGGACATGCCAGCTGCTGCTGCGATTGCGCTGTTACCTGGGCCACTTAACTGAGCCACAGCTGCTGTTTGCTTAGGTGACAAAGCCAAAATCCTGACGCCACCAAATTGATTCTGACTCGCAGTGACCCCATGTGTTGCAGAGACAAGAGGTCAACAGTTCTAA